CAACAAAATAACCATAAAAAACAACAAAACAAAACAAACAAACATTAAAAAAACAAAACAAAGAAGAACAAAACCAAAACCTTCAAGTGTTAGTCACAGTTCAGGCACTCAGCACTCAGCACTCAGCACTCAGCACTCAGCACTCAGCACTCAGCACTCAGCACAGGTCACAGAAAGTGAACGTTTGAATTTGAAAAGTCATTTCCTCATATAACTCGATCACTGTTTGAGTTTGAAAAGTGCAAGGGGGCGGGGTGGGGGTGGGGTAAGAAGGGAGGAGGTAGAGAGGGAAGGCTAGAGTTGGATGATGATGATGGGGGGGAGGAGGAAGGTTGAGATCAGGAGGTGTTAGTTATAGTTAAGTTTTACGGCGCACTCGCAACTGCATAAGGTCATAACATGAGTGCCAAGCGGCGGATGTCAACAGAGAAGTCCAAACAGGGAATCAGGCTTGCTCTGCTCACCTCTCTAGCCTGAACGGCACAAAGTCTGCTAGATCAGGACGCCTGTGTTAAGGTGCTTGGTTCAGGTGAATCTTTTGGTGGGCGGATGGATAGATGTGTGAGTGTTTTCGTTATATTTAAGTACATGTACTACTAAAGTGTTCATTTTGATCTCAAGTGCACATGTGTGAGTGCATGTGTGTGTGTGTCTGCATAATACAATATATGTGTGTGTTATTGTATGTATATATACATTTTAATTTTTTTTGTTTGGTAATTGTTTTACGGCGCTCACAACTGCATAAGGCCAATTGAGCGCATGGGACACATTAAACATTTTCAGTTTGGTAGGAATTAATTTATATTAAATTTTGCCCAGATGGTGGCCGAAGCCTACTCGTATTGATTTTGAACCACCAAGGGATCTTGTGCACGGAACTTCCGAGATTTTTCACCCTTATCCGAGAAGGCAAGGTGTTAGATCTTACCTACCTTAAGATCAGGGGTGTGGTTGAAAGACAGCAGTAAGGAGGGGCCAAGGAGGAGTGATAGAAAGTCAGCAGAAAGAGTCAGGAGCCCAGAGGAGAGGGCAAAGGAGATGAGGGGTGGGGGCAGAAAGTGGAGACGAAAGAAGGCGACAGAACATGGTTAGAGAGGAGCAGAAAAGGAGGTGAAAGGAGAAAATTTTAGAGAAGAAAATTTTACGTCGCTGTCAGGCTACGAACCGGGACCTATTGAATGAGAAGCGAACACCGTAACATCTAGACCATGCCAAGGAGAGCCCCCCCCCCCCCCCCCCCCAATAGGGGAAAGGTACGAAGTTTGAAATCATGGAGGTCTGTGTTAAGGTGCTTGGTTGATGTGGATCTTTTGATGGGCGGAAGGATAGATTTGTGAGTGTTTTCCTGTACATACTTACATGCTAAAATGATCGTTTTGAGCGCAAGTGCACATGTGTGGGTGCATGCGTGTGTCAGTATAATGATACAATATGTGTGTGTTATTATTATATACACGCCCGCACACACATGCACACACACACACAAACACACACACACACACACACACTCTCTCTCTCTCTCTCTCTCTCTCTCTCTCTCTCTCTCT